TAACTGTATCAGACAAGTCTTTCTCGACTATTCCATAAATAATCCCTTGGCTAAATTTCAAAACACACCCCTCCAAAAAATATACATCCATTAAAATCCTGGTTCGTATATTCCCTCAAATCAGGAAATATAGTAAATCTACAATTCCTATTAATCTTTAGATCACACAATAAAAGACTCTATTATTCTTTGGATCACTGAAAATTTCTAACTTTGATAAACCAAAGGCAACCTTTGTTATCTAAATTATACGAAAATCAGATGGTTGCCATTCTCTGAATACAAGTTTTGAAGGGCATTATTGAATCTAACAATCTTATATTAGAGTAAAATTGAAGATTTCTGCTGCAAACACTAAGCTCTGTGAATCCATTAGTCATTATGGTATTAGAAAAAAGGTAGCAAAGCACATTAAAAAGCAAAATTATAAGGCACAATACAATATATGGCACGGGGAACAATGTTCCCAGTGTGTTGCTATAACATGGGCACATTCAGCCAAAAGGGACAGTATGAGTGAAAAAGCAGACAGCAAACAATTCTGTATCAGCCTCCAGTACACTTCTGAGTGCTATTTATTTTATTTTATTTTATTTATTTTTTTGAGACAGAGTCTCGCTGTTGCCCAGGCTGGAGTGCAGTGGCGCAATCTCGGCTCACTGCAACCTCCGCCTTCTGAGTTCAAGCGATTCTCCTGCCTCAGCCTCTGGAGTAGCTGGGACTACAGGCATGCACCACTACACTTGGCTAATTTTTGTGTTTTTAGTAGGGATGGGGTTTCACCATGTTGGCCAGGCTGGTCTCGAACTCCTGACCTCAGGTGATCTGCCTGCCTCGGGCCTCTCAAAGTGCTGGGATTACAGGCTGAGCCACTGCGCCCAGTCACTCTAAGCATTTTTAACATTATACCAAAGAAAAGCCTACTCACTATTAATCTAAATAGAAACTCTAATATGCTCATTTTAGGAGAGAAATTCTCAGTTACATTCAGGGTTCCTGAGGTTAATCTAAATTTATCTACTTACCTAACGACTTTTCAAGCTCTGATGTGTTTGCTTTTTTCTATACTATCCAGAACCACCAGATGATGACTTTTCTGAAATATTAACTTGTCTACGTTACAGTGCCCAGTTACTCCATCAAATATTAATCTAGATGGTGCTTGTGAAGGTAGTTTGCTGACATAATTAAAGCCTCTAATCAATTTAAGTAAAAAAGACTATCCTAGATAATCCCAATGGGCATAAATGAATCCTTTGGAAAGACTTTAAAACAGGGCTGAGGTTTCCCCAAGAGAGAAAAGAAATTCTGCCTGTGGACCACAGCTTTGGCTTGTGCCTGCAACAGGTTCCATCCTGCTCATGATCTTCTCTTCCTGTAGCCTCCACAGGGATTCCAGTCTTGCTTAGCCAGACCCACGATTTTACAAGACTATTCTCTGCAATAAATCTCTTAATATATGTAGGCATATATCACTATATGTACAGATACACATATAAATCTCATAATACATGTATGCTTCTGTGTGTGTTTATATATGAGTGTGTGTATATACGTATTTATCTGTGTGTGTGTGTATATATATATATATACACCCTACTAATTCTGCTGCTCACTGGATTCCAACTAATATGCACCACAGTACGGAATGTGAATTTAGAAGTACTACTTCTTAGATTTAATTGGGGAAATATTTTATATTTATAGATGTATTAGTGGGCTTACCCAATCCTCTTTTTAAAATTTCAGGGGGTCAGGAGAGTAGTACAACACCAAATCATCTTCTGACAAGAACTACTATTTTCTGTAACAGCCAACATGGGAAGGAACTATTCACTTATTTCTTTCGATCACAAACAACAGGCCTGGGAATCCTTCATAATACAATCTGAACCATTTAATATTGGAGATCCTTTTATAAGAAGCACTATAAAATGCAAAGAACAGTAAGGATTTTCTTGAGTTCAATTATTGTAACAGTCTCCTTTTATTTTTGCACTTAGTGGGTAGCTGAACACCCTTAAGAAATTAATTCTACATGCTGAATCTACAGTGTGGCACCACAGTTACATTAGTTGAGGAGCTATTTAAGGAGTATTCCAGCATAAGAACAACTAAATAAAAGGTGGGCTAGAAACAAAGACTAAAACAATTACAACCAGCATTATCAGAACTTTACCAGAATGAACACAGACCGATTTTATCAAAAAGTAAGGTACCCAAAGAGGTACAGTTCAACTTGACATATAATCAGCTGCTCTTTAATTCTGATCAAGCACAATTCCAAACAAGCCCCAGGAGTAGCAAGAGCAGCAGCAGCAATTCACTCTAGTGTAAGACTGTAGCCTTACATAACGCTCACTGTCCCAGGAAGTCCCGAACCAAACCCCCGATGGTACAGGGACAGAAACCTGGCACGGAGGGTACAATCTGTAGGAGACTGGCTTTCTGAGAAACAGCTACGGACAAGGGGCAGAAGGAGCATACACATATAAACACACAGACACCAAAAACCCCAATGGAACAGGACCATGATAAAACAAAAAGAAAAATGAAGAAACTCAAATGATAAATTACAGGGAGCCAGACACACACACAGGAAATAGTGAAATGGCAACACAAGAAGCAAATGATTAGTAAGAAACACAGCGGCCACACACGTGCAAATCAGTACTAAATCTGGGAACAAGAGATAAAATATAATCCCAACTGTCTTTGACAAAGAATGCACTGATTATCTCCTAAAACAAGCAGAGCTCAGTTTATAAAAGTCGCATTCAAGGGCATAAGTGAAAACTACAATCTACCTTAGTTTGTAAGCAAGCCATAATACTAAATATAACCACTTCTACTTAAGACATTGGGTCCAGACGGGGTAAAAGAATAAATCACCTAAGGGTAGGCAGCCTTCAAATAACAGTTGCCAGGAAGTCCAAAAAGAACATAACTAACCTTGGCAGAACAGAAAGAAAATTGATTTGGAATTTACAAACCCCATTCGATTAGCCCTGACTCAACCACTGTGTCACTTCAGCAATAACTTCTCTGGGCCTCGGTTTCCTCTTCCATAAAATGCCATGCTAGATCACTTTCACAAATTCTATGATTCTACTGTTTATTTAACATCTTAAACTATGTTACCAAGTAACAAATTACAAAGCTGGTAGCAAAAGCTGAGTTATGAAAGCTGTTTCCTCTTTTTTTTTTTCCTCCAGTAGCCAAGAAACTGTGTTAAATCCTAAAACAAAATTATAATGCTATAGGGCCAGAGGACAGAAATGTACAGTGCTTTTTCCAACTTTTATAAGAGTTACATTCTGTGGAAAGAGTAAATCATTTACAACTCTTTCTCAAAATGCGAGAAATATAGTGACTAATAAAAGCTGCTATTTGGTGTGCTTTGGATATCAAATACAGACTTGGTCCTATTTCTTACTCTCCTTCGGTTCACATCCATCTCCCAAAAATCAATATTGGCGCCAAAAATGAATCAAAAACGTTTCCAAGCAAGCTGCCTGGAATAGCAAGCAGTAATTTCAAATGTAGATTTCTTATAAGAAATTAAACCATAAAACTTATTCAAGGAATTTCTTTTCTGAAATATATTTAGTGGGAAGTCACTAATCAATCAAAAGCATCACATTTTAATATCTATGCAGTACTGCTGCAGATTCCAGGCCTTTCCATAAGCAAAGAGAGGCATGTATTCATGTAAGTGCATAAGGGGTGAGGGGGTATATACACATGCATGCATGTGTGTGTTGCGAGGAAGGGTGTAGTATAAAAATGAGGACAAAACAAACGCACATAATCTAATCTTGAGGCTACTTTAATTTTAAAATTCTGACTTAAAAAATTTTATCCATATGTCTTACCCAGAACTGAACAAAATGAGTAGAGTTAATATCAAAATAAAAGGAAGTAAGTGACCAGGTAATCAGTCCGTGTTATTTACACTTTCAGTACAGTGAAGGAGAACTGTGAAGGTTAGACTTCATAGTTTTGGTTTCTTGAAAATTAAAATTCTATGACTACAGAATAGGAAAAAATAATAACTTCAGAGGACAATATCAAGTCTACCACTAACCCCAAAACTTTAAAACTTAGTAAAAAATTTATGGAAGTACTCTAACACTTCTCAGCCTTCAAGATCATTAAAAAAATATATTCTTAAGGATCAGTCCCCAAAAGGCCAAGTAGATTAGTGACGCCGTTCTGTCACTGTCAGTCTTTCTGGCTGTTCAGAATATAGGTGATCAATAAAGTTCTACTGGCAGAGTTGTTTCTGCATACTTTAAAATTTATATTAAATATGTGGTGTAAAAGAAGAGGTCAAAAGGCACATGCTTGACCTTTAGCATAAAATAGTAAGAAAACACACCAAAAAAATTCTAGGAGACCTGTCTGCCTAGATCTGTTCAAACAAAATATTTTAAAGAATTCCAAGTCAGAGACAGCTTCATAAAAAACACATTCGTGGCTCCTAAATTGTCCTCAAAGTGTCTCTCCTCCTAATTTTGATCTAATGCACTGAAGTAACAGTTTGTTTTTCAACAATAAAAACTGTGAAAAGTCTAAAAATTTATAGCCCAAGAGAGCATTAGCTCAACAACAAAGGTCTAAACCAGTGATAAAAGATTAACTCCTTATGCTTGAGGATCATTTGGTCATTACATACAGAAATTAAAAAGTAGACATCTGTCCTCTCTTGATTTGCCAGTAAAAAAAAAACTTTAATTTTAAATTAATGAATACTTTCTCTTTTGCCAATCAATGATGTTACAGTCCACAGCTTTCCAGTTTATTCCCATTCTATGTTGCCTTTTAGATACCGCAACAGAGAACGTACACTGACCTAGAGAAAAATGCAGCTAATACAGTAATAGCAAGAACTCGAGAACCTAAATTCAGAGTCAGATATTGAAAAAGTATGTCCCCAAAAGTGTACTTTTAACACCATACTTTAACCTCACGAGTCCCAATCAGCTTCCCTTTCTTACCTTTCCAACTCAGCTATCTTCTTATCTTTGTCATTCTTCTCATTTTCCACCTCCTTCAAGATTTCTAAGAGTCGATCAACTTCTGCCTGGGCCTTGCTAGATTCATCTTTGTACCTGGTGATCTCTCTCTCCAAGTGCTGTATACGGTCACTCATCTCTGGACTGGCTCTGGCTTCCAGTGCTGCCTCATGCGCCTACGGAGAGAAGCATTTCAGTCCTATCAGATACACACAAGTGGCAATGGGCAAACCATGTCCCAAATAATGATTTATATTCCAATTTAAGTACAGAATTATCAAATACCTAACAGCTAGTTTGCAATTTATAAGGTCTTTATCTGCTTAAGTATTATATAGACAAATATTAGTAATAAATGGAGAACTATCTTAGGTTCCAAGTAGATTAGTTGTTTTAAATAATACATCTCTGAATATTATTAAATCGAAAATCATCATAAGCCAAAAGATGCTGCAGAGTTTACTGAGACAAACTAACAAGTCATTGGACTGTTGTTATTGATCCCTCCAAGATAATACCAAAAGGCTACACCAGGGACTCACTGCTGATCGTATAGCCAGACCAGTGCAGAGACCTAATTCCCACTAGACCTTAACTTCCATTTCCATTTCCTAGATGCTGCTTTACCTAACGTGTGAATCACATGGCCTTGGGCATGTAGAGTCATACAGATACTGTGAGTGTGATGCCACAATAATGTGAGTTAGGTTAAGAAAATAGCTGCTACCATCACACAGGTACCTCCCTCATGCAAGGACTAGAGAATTTACAAAATAACATGGGACAAACAAATGAATTCAGAAATCAAGAACCGCACTTAAGGATGGGCTCTGTGGCTTGAGCCTGTAATCCCAGCACTATAGGAGGCCCAAGCAGGGGGACTGCCTGCAGCCACAAGCTGAAGACCAGCCTGGGCAACACAGCAAGGCCCCATCTCTATTGGAAAAAAAAATTGTTTAAAAAAAATTTTTTCTAAAAGAACCACACTAAGATCTGAGAAAAAAATTTTTATTCAGGATCCTATAAAAGTCAACTAATATTATTAATGCATTCTGGAATACAAAACAGTTTCAATAATTACAAACTAATTTTCAAGTCCTTAACTGTCTTCTGGAATCTCTAAAGCCATGTATGTATAACGTATTTAATGAGAAGACAAAAGCTAAGATGTTTTATTTTTTTCTTATTCAATAGACAATATATTTAGTCCCTTAAAATGGTGTGAAAAACTATTAAAGGAGAAAATATATATTCTTAGGAAACATTTCAGAAAGCTCTGAAGCAAAGTACCTTGAGTAAATGAGAAATGTTTATATAAATTGTATTAAAACGCTTGGGGAAAGTAACAGCTACACTTTTAAAGACAAGTCATTTCCTAAGTTTATTTGTTTAAGGCTTCACACGTGTAGAAAAAATCTTTTATCTGTCTTAAATATAGGCTTCCCTAACACTTAACCTTGATATACATATGAAGTATATTTTAAGAAACAAAAATCATGTAAGTTTGGAAGGTAAGAAGAGATCACTGTTCTGCACTGAATGTTGCCCAATGTCTAAAATCAGTTGTTTCACATGGTTTCTGTTTTTGAATTGTTAATTGTAGGAGGGAAATTCCTGTAGCAGTCAATCCTTCATGGGCGGGAGAAGGCTACAAATATATCTAATAGAAAAGGAGAGAGGAAAGAACAGTATAAGGAGTACCAAGGTCAGGAGATATTTCAATAGAAAGCTGATCATATTACACATAAAGAGAGGGGACAACAAAGGGGAAGAGATTGAAGATGCAAACAAAAGCAGAAGTAACTGAGAAAACTCTTAGTATCCACAAAGAAAGAAGGTGATGAAATAGACAACAGGAGGCAGCTTGATGTAGGGGCACAAAGACGACTGTGTAAACAAACGTGAAGGCCAGCTGCTATTTAATGTCACTGAGATAACTCTGATTTGTAATAATTCATTATAAATTATTTACTATAACTCCACAAATATAACTACTGCATATCAGCATTCTGGGCCTTCATACATGCTAGTGAGTCCTTACTTTGAGGTCTCAGCTTAGAAAGTGTCACTTCTGTTAGGAGGTACTCCATGACCTGGACCTAGGTTAGTTCTCTTTGATATAAGCTTCCCTCACACCATGTGATTTACTACAATTACCTTCGTAAGTGTCTATCTTCCTGATAGAGGCTATAAATTATATGAGTCAAGGGACAGGTCTGTCTTGTCCACCACTATATATCCTCCGTGCACAGTGTGGTAACTGTCAGAGTAAAAACTCAATTATTTGTAGAAAAAATGAATACACAAAAGCAGTAGGCTAGTTTCCATTTGATTTAAAACAGTCCCTAGGTCTAAACGGCAGGAAAAGAAAAATGACTGGGAAGAGGAGAAATTAATCAGTAATTAAACATAAGTGCACGATTAAATGTAGCCAGAAGATGATTAAGAATATCAAATGAGGCCAGGTGCAGTGGTTCGCGCCTCTAATCCCAGCACTTTGGGAGGCTAAGCTGGGAGAATTCTTTGAGCCCAGGAGTTCAACACCTGCCAGGGTAACATAGTGGGACCTCGCCTCTACAAAAAAATAATAAAATAATAACAATAAAGATAATAAAAGAATACTAAATGACAATCTTTAAAGACAAAATAAATCAAGCTAAAAAAAAAGATACTATAAACCTTCCCTTCCCTTATGACAACAAATTCTATATCAGAGTAGTTTATATCTAAACTCTTGCTGAGTTAATTTGTACTTTAAAATAAAATTCTAAGAAATTTAAACCACCTTAACGATCTTTACAACTTTATAAATTATAATACAAACTCCAAAAAAGGCATTATTTTTCAAATCAGTGTTATCAACATCCCTTTAAAATGGACTTCTAAGCCAGGTGCAGTGGCTCACGCCTGTCACCCCATCACTTTGCGAGGCTAAGGTGGGTGGATCACCTGAGGCCAGAAGTTTGAGACCAGCCTGGCCAACATGGCAAAACCATGTCTCCACTGAAAAGTACAAAAATTAGCCAGGCGTGGTGGTGCACACCTGTAATCCCAGCTACCTGGGAGGCTGTGGCACGAGAATTGCTTGAACCCGGGAGGTGGAGGCTGCAGTGAGTCCAGATTGTGCTACTGCACTCCAGCCTGGGCAAGAGTGAGACTGTCACACAAATAAATAAAAATAAAATAGTTTTCTAAACTGTGGAATATGACATTGAATTCAAGATGCAAGTATTTCTTCTGTCCATAGAGTCACTTATCATGGTATTAACATGAAAGGCATTTTCTGGATGAAGGTGTTTAATTTCATGGCTTCACTTTCTTCTCCCCTTTCTTACCCATTAAGTTCTAACTATATGTTAACCTATGCTTTAAAAATGCACATCATCTATACACCTTGCTTTTAGAATGTGAAAAGGTCAAGAAGATTCAGAAGCAAAAGCTACAAACTTTAGTGAAATAACAATATTTGTATAAAATGTCACCTTTGGACAAGAGAAGCTGATGTAACAGTGAATAATCCTCCTTAAAATACTGAGTTAAAGGTTAAGCTCTCCATCCACAGGCCTTGTTCTACTGAAAAATACCTACCTTTAACATTATTAAAACCTCAGTACTCATACTCATACACTGGAGGCAGATTTTGTTCTTTCATATTTCATGCATGTTATAGTAAAACATGTAAGATTGCAAAACCATGCAGATAATCATATTCCCATAAAAATCAACATTTTCACCACATAAGCTATTTAATGAGAAAGTAAACACTAAGACAAGTTTTTTCCTTATTCAATAAACAACAAAACATATTCAGTCCCTTAAAATGGTTTCAAAAATTATTAAAGGGGTAAACATACATACTTAGGAAAGCTCTGATTCAAAGTACCTTGGGTAAAAGAGAAATGTTCATGTAAATTTTGTTAAATGCTTTGTGGAAGCAACAGAGGTACTTTCAAGATTAAGTCCTCTACCAATTTCTTTTGTTTCAGGTTTCATCAGTTGTCAAAATTCAGTTGCTAAGCATGGCCTTTATAAAAGACTCTATTGGCAGATACATGATTTAATGTGTTAGCAAAACTGTACCCTAAACTGGTGTGTCTAAAAGCCACAACATGGTGGAAATAAAAGCAATGAGAAGCAGTCCTGAATTAATTAACTCACTAGGAACAGAACAAAGCAAAAGCAGCAGAAACGCAAATACTTTCCAAAGTATGAGGAAAAATTTTGGTCTTAGAGAACGTTTTCTATTTTGTAGTCACCTCAATATACTTCAGAGAGGAATCATTTAAAAAAAAAAAAAAACAAACCTAGAGTTCCTGTTTCGGGAAGGGAGAGATGAGAAGGTTAAGCATATTCATTTATCTATAGGGTGATAAAAATGTCATTCACACAAAAGCCAGAAAAAAACTATCAACTGAGACTTTATGGCAACACCTGGCGAGGCCACTTGCTGGCTTGGATGAGAGGCTCCACACTATTACAGGATGCTGAAGACAGTAAGAAGCATCAGGGAGAAAAGAAGACAGAAAAGTAGAGAAAATGGTTTTAAGAGTAGGATAATCAAGGGAAAGAAAATTAATGGTTAAAAATATTTTTAAAAGCTTCAACAACAAAAATCAGAGTATAGAAATAAGTATTTCACTCTACAAGGAAAAAAAAAAGAATTAAGCATTTTAAAAATTCTGATAACTCAAGGCTGAGCATAGTGGTCTTGCTCCCAGCAGTTTGGGAGGCCATGGCAGAAGGATCTCTTGAGGCAGGGGTTTGAGACCAGCCTAGGCAACATGACAAGACCTCTCCATTTTAAAAAACAAAAGGCCGGGTGTGGTGGCTCATGCCTGTAATCACAGCACTTTGGGAGGCCAAGGCGGGTGGATCATGAGGTCAGGAGTTCAAGACCAGCCTGATCAACAAGGTAAAACCCCGTCTCTACTAAAAATACAAAAATTAGTCAGGCGCAGTGGCACACGCCTATAAACCCAGCTACTATGGAGGCTGAGGCAGGAGAAACACCTGAGTCCAGGAGGCAGAGGTTGCAGTGAGACGAGATGGCGCCACTGCACTCCAACCTGGGTGACAGAGTGAGACTCCGTCTCAAAATTAACTTAGCCAGGTGTTGTGGCATGGGTCTGTTGTCCCAGCTCTTCGGGAAGATGAGGCAGGAAGATCACTTAAACTCAGAAGTTTGAAGTCACAGAAAACTATGATTATGCTACTGCACTCCAGCCTGGACGACAGAGCAAGACCCTGTCTCCAAAAAACAAAGAAAAAAAGACCAAAAAAAATCTGGTATCTCAAAAGTTGAGTTTCAATCCTTTCCTTAATAAATTCTGAGGACATTATCTCATACTGAAGACATGGAATGCCAATATTCAGATACAGGATATAAATTCTTAAGCTATACATAGGCCAAAAATGACTTCAATTATCATTACCTCAAAACCAGTCATTTCCCACTCCAAACAAAACAGAGAAGAAATCTACTTTAAAAATGTCAATGATAGGCACAGGCTTTTGAATAAATGTAAACTAGAACACTAACAATACACCAGTAATAGTTTCCAAGAAGAAAATATGCCAAATAGTCCTTCATGTAAATCTACACATAAGCTGTAAACCAAAAAACAGACCCTAATGTAGAAGGTGAAGATAACAAAATTCTAGGCCTCATAAGCTGCTATGAAAAACTAAAAGTATAACAAGTAAAAAAAAATTTCTGACAACATGTGCCCTGTCTTTTAAAAAAAAATGCTAGGAAATTAACATTCTCCAAAATGAGATAAAATCTGAAACAGGATATTTAACAATTGTTCTGAGTCTCAGATCTTACGACACAGGTTAAATTAGAAAATACACTCTCACTTATTCTTCTTTTTTGTGTATGTGAGATGGAGTTTTGCTCTGTCGCCCAGGCTGGAGAGCAGTGGCGTGATCTCGGCTCAATGCAACCTCTGCCTCCTGGGTTCAAGCGATTCTCCTGCCTCAGCCTCCTGAATAGCTGGGATTACAGGCCCGCACCACTACGCCTGGCTAATCTTTTGTGTGTTTTTAGTAGAGACGGGGTTTCGCCATGTTGGTCAGGCTGGTCTCGAACTCCTGACCTCATGATCCGCCCGCCTCGGCCTCTCAAAGTGCAGGATTACAGGCCTGAGCCACCGTTTTCTCTTTTTTTACGAGATGGGGTCTCACTCTGTGGCACAGGCTGGTGTCCAACTCCTGACATAAGTAATCCTCCCACCTCAACCTCCCAAGTAGCTGGAATTACAGGCATGAGTTACCACACCCGGCAGAAGTCTGATTCTAATGGAAGAAAAATGTCAGGTAACTGAGATTTTTACACTGTGGTCTCATATTTCAACCACGAGGGAGCTGCATGTTTTAATTTTTCTCTGAACTGTCAATTTTCAAAGACTTGGGGGATTATCTTGAATAAAATAAAGTAGGATAAGAATGCTAAGATAATTAATTCAGGTATACATGGTATTTTAAAGTTTGGGGGATTATTACTCCATTGGTAAATTATTTCATATAAACATGCCAAGGCTATGCTCTTATTTAAAGCAAAGCAAAAAAAAATGTGAAAAATTTTCTTTAACCTTTTTCAATTGTGATTCCATTTTCAGACACTCCTCCTTCTTCTGCTCCAAAGCGATCTCTAGTGTCTTAAGCCGTGAGTCCTTTTTCAGGCCTGAGGACGCCAGAGAAGAAGCATGCTCTTTCAGATCCAGAAGTGAAGCCTAAAAGAAGCAACATACATCTAGAATAAATAACTATAAACAAAATAGAGATTTAAAATTTTAAATTTATCGTGGTAGCTGTAATTTCCTTTCCATTACCAAATGCTGACATATTTCCATTTCAAGGAAATTCATCATGAAATATAAAACAATACTAACTCTAGCTTTCAACTCTTAACAAATAAGATGGATTCTCAAGAAATACCAATTGAACAGTGATTTAAAGAGTTCTGTCAATACATACCCATTCTACAAAATAAACCAAAGTAGATCAAGCTTTGTGAATGTAAGTAGTCAAACCTCAGTAGCTACATTAACTTAAACAAAAAACATTTTTCGGCCAGATACTTGTAATCCCAGCATTTTGGGAGGCTGAGGCAGGGGGATCACTTGAGGCCAGGAGTTCAAGACCAGCCTGGGCAACATAGCAAGACCCTGTCTTCACAAAAAAAAAATTTTTACCTTAGCTGGGCATGGTAGTGCACACGTATAGTCCCAGCTACTTGGAAGACTGACATAGGAAGATCCCTTGGGCTCAGGAGTTCAAGACTGCAGTGAGCTATGATAACGCCATTGCACTCCAGCCTGGGCAACAGAGTGAGACGCTATCTCTTAAAAGAAAAAAATAAATAAATCACATTTTTCCCTATTAAAAGAAAAATTCTATTAGGAATTTAAACTTCCATAACATTTCCTAAAGATATCAGAAAGAAAATCCACAGAAAGATGCTACAGTTCATGCATTATCACCATCTGATTACACAGCATGAGGCATCTTTGCTCTTCAGGTCATATTAACAGGATTCTCCAAAAGCAAGATTCAAGTAGATTAAGTCACCCAATTTAATAGCTGTTGTGTTCTTTGATAGTTGGTATACATAAAATTTCCTTCTTTTGCATATTCCTTTTATCTGTCAACTTTCTTATCTTTAGCACACTATTTCTCCAAATGTATCTGAGCTTCAGTTACTTTAGGTCTATAAAAATATTAGTAAGTAAAAAACCAACATAAAATATAGTAACACTTAGAAAATGAATGAACCAATCCACTATGTCTCTGCAAAGCATTCTGAAATATTCCTTAAGGTATTCACAAAAAGCCTGCTAAAAGAATATTAAGAAAATTTTCCATCGAATACTTTTGTACATGCATTATGAAAACACCAACAACATACAGACACGTTCAAATGATTAACAAACAAACTAATTCCATTTTGGTGAGCTTAACCTCTTTCTCTGAAAGGTCGCCTTGCAATAGGCTGACTTTTTCCTTCAAGTCTTTAAGATCTTTTTTGTAGTTATCAATTTCCTCTTGCTTCTCTCGCTCATCTCTGTCCCTCTGCTCCTTTAAGCGTTCAATTGTCCGCTCCTGATGAGATAATAAATCAAGATGTGAGGAAATTCCCTTTTGCACTTATATGACTGTAATTCTGCTATTAGCTGATAAAATTTCAAACTTCTATGTTCAAAAGACAATGGTAAGTTTTTAAAGAATCCACTTTTTTTTTGAGATAGAGTTTTGCTCTTGTTGCCCAGGCTGGAGTGCAATGGCATGATCTTGGCTCACCGCAACCTCCGCCTCCTGGGTTCAAGTGATTCTCCTGCTTCAGCCTCCCAAGTAGCGTGCCACCACACCTGGCTAATTTTGTATTTTTAGTTGAGACAGGGTTTCTCCATGTTGGCCAGGCTGGTCTCGAACTTGTGACCTCAGGTGATCCGCCCGCCTTGGCTTCCCAAAGTGCTGCAATTACAGACATGAGCCATAGTGCCCAGCCAGAATGCACTTTCTAAATAATTCATCCTTCTTATTCATCTTGCCATAACAAGGACGTAGCTTTATTCAATTCAGTCCCAAGGTTTCTTTTCTTATAATCTCAACTGGTATTTGATACCACTAAAGTATTCTTTTGGAATATTTCCATTTATTCAATTTCCAGGTAACTAAAAGCTTACATATACACCCTAAGGGCAATAACTATCAAACATTTCTTCTCTATATATTACTCACATGTCGCCTACAAGGCAATGGAAACAACTCACAACTCACACACCAAAAAGGGGGAATGGGAAAGATGTTGATATATTGACTTTAAAATATAAAGGAAGGTAAATAAAAGAGAAATCATCAGAACTTTCTGTCAACAGATACTCAAGAAGTTTGAAAATCAGAGCAATTTGGCCAGGTGCAGGGACTCATGCCTGTAATCCCAACACTTTGGGAGGCCAAGGTGGGTGGATTACTTGAGGTCAGGAGTTCAAAACCAGTCTGGCCAACATGGCAAAATCCCGTCTCTACAGAAAACACAAAAGATTAGTTGGGCATAGTGGCTCATGCTTGTAATCCCAGCTACTTGGAAGGCTGAGGCAGGACAATCGCTTGAAACTGGGGGGTGGAATTTGCAGTGAGACAAGATCACGCCACTGCCCTCCAGCCTGCGCACAGAGTGGGACTCTATCTTAAAAAAAAAAAAAAAATTTCCCCTTCACACTACGTATGTCAGCAAGAGCACACAGCAGTTCTTTTCCCTTTTGCCCACAGGGATTTCTTTTGTATCCTACACCCAGTCTTAGATTAATGAGAACGCAGAAAACGCGTGTGGAGTCGGGGACAGTCACTCACTTTCTCTGCAAGGGCCTCCTCCAAAGTTGTCAAGGCAGTGTCAGTGTTGGTGGTGTCGGCCTGCAAGGATTTGACCCGCTCTTTCAAGCTGCTCATCTGCTTTTCCTTATCTCTAAGCTGCTCTTGAAGATTTTCAATCTAAATGCACATAAATATTTAAGGGAAAAGAGAGGACATTTATAAAAACACAGCAGCACAATCAAAATCATTTCAATTTGAAAACAGTTCAGGGTTGTCTGTGTGTGTGCGTTCTGTAGAAATCATTTAATCCTAAGAGTTTCAGAATTACATGCAAAACCTTAAATTTGTAGGCAAATTGAATTTGTAGGAATTTGTAGGCAAAACAAAAAAAAAGGTACACACATGTATGGACACACACACACACACACACATGCACTCACACACCTACACACAAATCCCTAACAAAATAAGAAAAGTAGCTAGCAGAAAAGATCCAGTACAGAGATGGCCACGTAGAGAGGAAAGCCATGAGGACTAGAATTACTGCTAATATGACAATGTAAATGCCAAGAGGGATTCCTCGACAAAGAATAAAGGGAGGACAGAGAATAGAGCAGCTAAACAGCGAGAAAGACAAATCAGCTATATAAAGAAAAGGCTGTTCTTAAAGGCTAGTGTTATGTTAGTTTTATATCATCTTTTATCTAAGCAGCAAACATTTTTGTGGCCATTTATTCATATACACTTACACGCGCTCATTTACTCAAAAACCATTTGTTGAATTCTTTATTACATGCCGGACACAACGGATATGAAGAAAAATGAATAGGCTCGTTTTTATTCCACTATGAGATAAGAAAATGCATCATCACACAGCTGAAGCCAAGCTATAGAAGAGGTGTGTGCCAACCTAAGAAGCACAGACTTTATTCCAGAGAGAGGGAAACATTAGAGATTGTTAAGCACAGAAATGGCCTGGCCAATTCTGTACTTTAAATAAATAACAGTGCCAGTGTTGGCAGTGTCAGCATGCAAGGACCCGACCCATTCTTTCAACAAAAATTTAAGAGGACTTCGCATATAGACATCAAAAACCATTAGAGTTTGTATCAGTTCAGGCAAGATTATGGGGACTAAACATACTACAAGATAACATTGTGGAAATAGCGCGTTATCACTCAAGCACAAGCAGCATGTTATCACTCAAGTACAAGGAGACTCAAGTACGATAAAAAATTATTATTCAAGTATAATAAAAAAATCAAGCAAAACTATGAGGAAATTCTAAGGAGCTATCCTTAATAAGCTAAAGGAAAATTATAAATAAACCAACTACTCACAAAGTTCATTCATTCACTATACACACAAGTTCAAATTCCCGCCATAGATCAGGCACTTTTCCAGTTGCTGAGGAAACAGAGCAATGAAAACAGACCAAATTCCTGCCTTCATGGAGCTTACATTCTAGTAAGGTAGATAAATGAATGATGGAAGGAGGGAGGGAGTGACTGAAGAAATGAATCAACATAGCGTAGGGCAGAGATAAGTTCTATGGAGAAAAATGAAGCAGGAGAACATAACCACTGTCTCCTCTTGAGCTGATTCTAGAACTACCTGATTTTTCTACATGGTTTTCAAAATGCAAGATAAACATTATCTCCTCTAGGAATAGTTTGTTGCCCTCACCCCCATGAGAAAAACTTGATCATTGTCTGTACCCCATTAATGATAGATATACATGTATACATTATGTATAAATACACACTCCTCCATTCTTCCAGGTATCTATATATTGATCACACATCTCCATTCCTCCATCTATCAATCATTATAGCACTGATTAATATATGTAGCCATATGTAATTCTTTGTTTTATACATGTCTCCACAAGTAGACATGGATCCTGCCCCTCCATCTGTTTTGTACCTTCCTATACGGTACATCTCAGATCGTAGCAAACATTAATCAATAAATGAATATATAAGTTTGGACTTTCATAAACTGCATTTAGGGATTCATAAAAACTCTTGCCAAGAACAGAATTACAAAACAATCCTGGATCCAATTGTCAGGTAGTTTCTTACATTAATAAATTTAGTACAAGCTCTTTAAGGTACCTCTCTTGAGTCAAGAAGGACTTGACAGGCAGAACAAAAAAGCTAAGAAAGAGATTGGGTAAGTTTAGAATAGGGTACATGGATATGCTGAAGCTTACATTTTCACTTGTTAACAAAGAGATAATCATGTGGGTGAACCACTGAATTGCCCAGTAAGAGACCAAAGCCTGCTGTAAGAATTGAGTTCATCCCGGATGGAAAGCAGTAGTCTTCCCTTGATTTAGTCAGACACTACTATTGAAATCGCCTCTGGATCCACACTTAGGGAAACTCACAACCATTAAAGAGAATTTCGCCACTCAAAAATTCAGTACTTTATATACGCGTATACCTTCATTTCTTATGCTTTGCTTTATTGCTCTTCACGGATACTGGTTTTTTACTAACTGAAGGTTCGTGGCAACCCTGCGTCAAGCAAGTCTATCAGCGCTACTTTTCAACAGCATTCTAACTTGGTATCTGTCACATTTTGGTAATTCCTGCAATATTTCTCATTATTAGTGTATCTATTATGGTGATCTGTGATCAGTGATCTTTGATGATACTACTGTGATTTATTTGGGGTGCCATGAACTCTGCCTGTATGAGATGAACTTAAGAAATGTTGCATATGTTCTGACTGTTCCACTGATCAATCATTCCCACTTCTCTCTCCCTCTGTGTCAGCCTTCCTATTCCTTAAAACACAACTACGTTGAAATTAGGCCAATTCATAACCCAACAATGCCCTCTAAATAGTCAAGTGGAGGAAAGTCGCACATCTCTCACTTCTAGTCAAAATTTGGAAATGATTAAGTCAAATGCTGCAAGCAGAGTTTGAAAAGTAAAAAAGATTAAGCTTAGTGAGGATGGCATGTCAAAAGCCAAGGCAGGCTGAAAGCTAGGCCTCTGGAACCACACAGTCAAGTCACTGAAGGAAATCAAAACTGCCACTCCAGTGAACACACAAAAAACAAAACAACCTTATTGCTGATATGGGAAAAGTTTACTGGTTTGGATACAGGATCAAACCAGCCACAGCATTCCTCAAGCCAACGCCTAATCCAGAGCAAGGCCCTAACTCTCTTCATTTCAATGGAGATTGAGAGGTGAAGAAGCTAAAGGAGAAAAGTTTCAAGCTAGCAGAGGTTGGTTCACGAGGTTTAAGGAAAGAAGCTGTCTCCATAATCTAAAAGTGCAAAGTAAAGCAGCAAGTGCTGATGGAGAAGCTGCAGCACCTTATCCAGGTCTAGCTAGGATAATCAATGAAGGTGGCCTCAACAAACAATGGACTTTGAATGCATTTGGTTGGTGCAAAAGTAATTGCAGGTTTTGCCATAGAAATTACTTTTGCACCAACCTAATAGATGAAACAGCCTTCGGCAAAAGATGCCATCTAGAACTTTCATAGCTAGAGAGGATAAGTCAATGTCTGGCTTCAAACCTTCAAACATTAGCCGGGTGTGGTGGCCCATGCCTGTAATCCCAGCTACTCAGGAGGCTGAGACGGGAGAACGGCTTGAACCCAAAAGGCAGAGGTTGCAGTGAGCCAAGTTCATGCCACTGCATTCCAGCCTGGGCAACGAAGCAAGACTCTGTCTCAAAAAGGAAAAAAAAACAAAAAACAAAAAACAAAACAAAGGAAACAAAGCTTCAAAGAAGAGGATGACTCTCTTGTTAGGGGATAATGCAGCTGGTGACTGAAAGTTGAGGCCAATGTTCACTTATCATTTTGAAAATCCTAGGGCCCTCAAGAATTATGGCAAATCTACTCTGCCTATGCTTTATAAATGGAATAATGACGCCTGGATCACAGCCCATCTGTTTACAACATGGTGTACTTGGTGTATTAAACCCACTGTGGAGACCTACTGCTCAGAAAAAAAGATGCTTTTTTTTTCAAAATATTACTGCTCATCAACAATGCATCTGGTCACCCAAGAGCTCTGACAGAGAGGTACAAGGAGATTCATGCTTTTCTTATGCCTGCTCATACAACATCCATTCTGCAACTCATGGATCAAGGAGCCATTCTGATTTCTAGTCTTACTGTTTAAGAAATACATTTTGGCCAGGCGCGGTGGCTCAAGCCTATAATCCCAGCACTTTGGGAGGCCGAGACAGGCGGATCACGAGGTCAGGAGATCGAGACAATCCTGGCTAACACGGGTAAAACCCCGTCTCTACTAAAAAAAATACAAAAAAACTAGCTGGGCGAGGTAGCGGGCGCCTGTAGTCCCAGCTACTCGGGAGGCTGAGGCAGGAGAATGGCGTAAACCCGGGAGGCGGAGCTTGCAGTGAGCTGAGATCCGGCCACTGCACTCCAGCCTGGGCGACAGAGCGAGACTCCGTCTCAAAAAAAAAAAAAAAAATACATTTTGTAAGGCCATAGTTGGTGATTCCTCTGATGGATCTGGGCAAAGTAAACTGAAAACGTTTTGGAAAGGATTCACCATTCCTAATGTCATTAAGAACATTTGTGATTCATAAGAGGAGGTCAAAATATCAACATTAACAGGAGATCGGAAGAAGTTGATTCCAATCCTCCTGGGTAACTCTGACAGACTCAAGACTTCAGTAGAAGTCGTCACTCAAGATGTGGAAATAGCAAGAGAACCAGAATTAGAAGTGGAGCCTGAAGCTGTGACTGAACTGCTGCACCCTCATGATAAAATTTGAACAGATGGGCCAGGCGCGGTGGCTCACACCTGTAATCCCAGCACTTTGGGAGGCCGAGGCAGGCAGATCACTCGAGGTCAGGAGTTCAAGACCAGCCTGGCCAACACAGAGAAACCCCATCTCTACTAAAAATACAAAAAGTTAGCCAGGCGTGGGGGTGGGCGCCTGTAACCCCAGCTACTGGGGATGCTCAGGCAGAAGAATCACTTGAACCCGGGAGGCAGAGGTTGCAGCGAACCAAGATCACGCCATTGCACTCCAGCCTGGGCAACAATAGCAAAACTCTGTCTCCAAAAAAAAAAAAAAAAAAAACTGAACAGCTGTGGAGCTGCTGCTTCTGAATGAGTAAAAAGAGTTGTTTTTTTTTTGTTGTTTTTTGTTTTGAGACAGAATCTACTCTTG